GGGAGTCCGGGATCATCCAGTTATTGTAGGAGAATTATGGATACACTGGATGGGAATCCTGGATATAGCCCCCTGTAATTGCTGACATTCCAGCGGAATTATCTGCACATTCTCTGCGCTCGACCTTTCACCCCCAGCGAGCAGGAGACGCTTAAAGCATCTCCATCAACTGCGCCTGATGCATCTGGCTGAGGGATGGAGAGAATGCCAGAACGCGGATCAGCCGGGGGAGGAGAAGGCCATATTATCTTATTAAATATTAACGCAATATCACAGAAGCTTAAGGGGAATTACTTAGCAATCAGACCCTTTCCTACTGACAAGCTGCTTTTACAGACTAAGTGCATCCAGGTGGTTTTAACTCGGGCATAGGGAAAAAAACAAACGTATTATCCAAGAGAAGATTTAAAGCTGAACCTTAGAAAACAAAGCTAAATACACAAAATAAATACATACATGGGAGCTGATTTACCTGCCCAAGGATTTGTACTTCTGTCCAAACAAAAAAAAAAACCATGGAGGTATGTAGGAAACCTAGGGTATGGGGTATGAAAACATGGAGGTATGTAAGAACTTAGGGTATAGGGTATGAAAACATGGAGGTATGTAGGAAACCTAGGGTATGAAAACATGGAGGTATGTTGGAACTTGGGGTATGGGGTACAAAAACATGGAGATATGTAGGAAACCTAGGGTATAGGGTATGAAAACATGTAGGTATGTAGGAACTTAGGGTATTGGGTACAAAAACATGGAGGTATGTTGGAACTTGGGGTATGGGGTACAAAAATATGGAGGTATGAAGGAACTTGGGGTATGGGGTACAAAAACACGGAGGTATGTAGGAAAGCTAGGGTATTGGGTATGAAAACATGGAGGTATGCAAGAACTTAGGGTATGGGGTACATAAACATGGATGTATGTAGGAACTTGGGGTATGGGGTACAAAAATATGGAGGTATGTTGGAACTTGGGGTATGGTGTACAAAAATATGGAGGTATGTTGGAACTTGGGGTATGGTGTACAAAAATATGGAGGTATGTTGAGACTTGAGGTATGGGGTACAAAAATATGGAGGTATGTTGAGACTTGAGATATGGGGTAAAAAAACATGGAGGTATGTTGAGACTTGAGGTATGGGGTACAAAAATATGGAGGTATGTTGAGACTTGAGGTATGGGGTACAAAAACATGGTGGTATGTAGGAACTTGGGGTATGGGGTACAAAAATATGGAGATATGTTGGAACTTGGGGTATGGAGTACAAAAATATGGAGGTATGTTGAGACTTGAGGTATGGGGTACAAAAACATGGAGGTATGTAGGAACTTAGGGTACGGGGTACAAAAACATGGAGGTATGTAGGAACTTAGGGTATGGGGTACAAAAACATGGAGGTATGTTGAGCTTGGGGTATGGGGTACAAAAACATGGAGGTATGTTGAGCTTGGGGTATGGGGTACAAAAACATGGAGGTATGTAGGAAAGCTAGGGTATTGGGTATGAAAACATGGCGGTATGCAAGAACTTAGAGTATGGGGTACATAAACATGGAGGTATGCAAGAACGTAGGGTAGGGGGTACATAAACATGGAGGTATGTAGGAAACCTAGGGTATTGGGTACAACAAAACGTATTATCCAAGAGAAGATTTAAAGCTGAACCTCAGACAAAAAGCTAAATACACAAAAGAAATACATACATGGGAGCTGATTTACCTGCCCAAAGATTTATATTTCTGTCCAACCAGCAGGAGACCTGATTTATCTCTGCTATAGTTTAGTAACACTTTCAGGTCTTGTCCCTCCCCCCAGCTGTAATTGGACAGTGAAAAGAGATAGCAGTAGTCTGATGAGTTCCTCTCCCTGTCACTCTACTCTCTTCTCCTATCAGCATGTTCGTTGTTAGCACATAAGCACTGAAGCAAACCTGACTGGCTCCTTGTGCTCTCTCCCTCCCCCAGTATGAGCTCAGCTGAATTTCTTCAAAATTTTGCCAAAGCAAAAAATATCATATACCGCCGCAGGGGGCTGTACACACGCCACCGCGGCAAAGCTTTGTACCGTGGTCATGGCAAATTGTCCTTTAACAAGAGGCACCACCTGTTCAACTCGCCCATTCAAATCAATAGGCTTGCGCCACAACCGCGAGCTCAGCATTTGAGTTGCTATTGCGTCTCATTATTTCCATTTTTCAATCGACGTTCAGAAAAGAAAAAAGCATATTGGAAAAAAAAAAAAGAAAAAAAAAAGGCATTTGGAAGGTGGCAGGGTGGCCCCATGAATGTCCAGACACTGCTGCTTAGCCGCCCTCTGAAAAGTTAGAACCTGGTGTCATAGTTCATCCCACTTCTGAAAACTACCAGATTGTATTACTGGAACACGAGATTTGTAAAAATAAGGAATGAAATAAAAACATTCAACCAGAAAAAGAAAGATAAAAATCTTTATTTGGAAGCCCAAAGTGTGCAGATGTACGCCGGCAGAGCAAACGCAATCCTTGAACCTAGGCAGCTGATCCGGCTGTTTGGTGCATACAGTGCCATCCGCGCCTACAGTGCGCTCCGACATCCAAAACATACAGCTTCTGTGTTCCTCAATGAGTACAACACTTTAACAAATAAAAAAGGTGATGTCATGCCTGTGAGATATGACACATCTGGAGGGCGGTGATGTCATTCCTGAGAGATATGACACATCTAGAGGGCGGTGATGTCATTCCTGAGAGATATGACACATCTAGAGGGCGGTGATGTCATTCCTGAGAGATATGACACACCTAGAGGGCGGTGTAGGCAAGTGCAGTTTATTTTCTCCACTGTAGGGTGGCGCTCGTCTGGAGCGCTACTGCAGCTGGAGGAAATGGCAAGGGAAACTGGGTTTCTCTGTATTTCCCTTGGTTCCTTGGAGCAGCATTCCAGTTGGCTACGGTGCATCCAGGTGACCCTGGTGGCCATCTTGGGTCACGCAGAGTCTTTTAAGGCCCTGCCCCCAGGTTTTGGCATGCATTTATGAATTGGCTAACGCATGGAGAGTACACTCGTCTGTCAGGGACAGCACTAGCGGCAGGGAGAGGATCCAGGAAGTAGGGAAAGCTTAGGGCCTACGTCTGCACTTCAGCAAGCTCCCTTATGCGTTCGATGCGTTCCACCCCCCTTGGTAAGCGCTGTCTTCAGCTCGTGCCTACTACCGCTGGTTCTCCACTGCATTGACTGTAAGTTCCCGGTTGGATGAGCTCTCCTACTGGACTGCTGTACTGTTTGCAAGTCCTTCAATACATCAGTTACTGCATTCTGGGCCTCTGTGTGTTTGCTGTAGAAGCATCATACTGCATCTACCCAACACAGAGATGTCACTCCTGTGAGATATGACACATCTGGAAGGTGATGATGTCACTCCTGTGAGCTATGACACATCTGGAGGGTGGTGATGTCACTCCTGTGAGATATGACACATCTGGAGGGTGATTATGTCATTCCTGAGAGATATGACACATCTGGAGGGCGGTGATGTCACTCCTGTGAGATATGACACATCTGGAGGGTGGTGATGTCACTCCTGTGAGATATGATACATCTGGAGGCGGTGATGTCCCTCCTGTGAGATATGACACATCTGGAGGGTGGTGATGTCACTCCTGAGAGATATGACACATCTGGAGGGCAATTATGTCACTCCTGTGAGCTATGACACAGCTGGAGGGTGGTAAGGTCACTCCTGTGAGATATGACACATCTGGAGGGTGGTGATGTCATTCCTGAGAGATATGACACATCTGGAGGGCGGTGATGTAATTCCTGAGAGATATGACACATCTGGAGGGCAATTATGTCATTACTGAGAGATATGACACATCTGGAGAGCGGTGATGTCCCTCCTGTGAGATATGACACATCTGGAGGGTGGTGATGTCCCTCCTGTGAGATATGACACATCTGGAGGGTGGTGATGTCACTCCTGAGAGATATGACACATCTGGAGGGCAATTATGTCACTCCTGTGAGCTATGACACAGCTGGAGGGTGGTAAGGTCACTCCTGTGAGATATGACACATCTGGAGGGTGGTGATGTCATTCCTGAGAGATATGACACATCTGGAGGGCGGTGATGTAATTCCTGAGAGATATGACACATCTGGAGGGCAATTATGTCATTACTGAGAGATATGACACATCTGGAGAGCGGTGATGTCCCTCCTGTGAGATATGACACATCTGGAGGGTGGTGATGTCCCTCCTGTGAGATATGACACATCTGGAGGGCGGTGATGTCATTCCTGAGAGATATGACACATCTGGAGGGCAATTATGTCACTCCTGTGAGCTATGACACATGTGGAGGGTGGTAAGGTCACTCCTGTGAGATATGACACATCTGGAGGGCAGTGATGTTACTCCTGTGAAACATGATACATCTACAGGGTAATTTCATTCCTGTGGGATATGACACATCTGGAGGGCGATGATGTCACTACTGTGAAATATAATACACCTTATCTGGAGGGTGATTATGTCACTCCTGTGAGATATGACACATCTGGAGGGAGGTGATGTCACCCCTGTGGGATATGACACATCTGGAGGGCGATGATGTCACTACTGTGAAATATAATACAACACATCTGGAGGGCGATTATGTCACGTGATGTCACTACTGTGAAATATAATACAACACATGTGGAGGGCAGTGATGTCATTCCTGTGAGATATGACACATCTGGAGGGCGGTAATGTCACTCCTGTGAGATATGACACATCTGGAGGGCAGTGATGTCACTCCTGTGAGATATGACACATCTGGAGGGCGGTGATGTCCCTCCTGTAAAGATATGACACATCTGGAGGGCGATGATGATGTCATTCCTGTGTTTACAGGAGCTAACTCTTGTCATCTCCAGGAGTCATCATGCCATGTTTGAGTTGGAATCTCAGCCCAGGACATAGAACGTGACTCTGGATGATGCATGAAGAAAGAATGTTCTGCATTAATGTCACATAAAAACATATATAAAGCTAGATTCACTTCATACTCAATAGGCAGTGATGGCTTCCCTTGTATTGCACGTTTCCTTACCTCCCTTACGTTTGTCTTCAGCTATGACCAGGGACGGACTGACAACTCATGGGGCCCCCGGGCAATAGGGGATCATGGGGCCCCTGTGTCCTTGCCCAAACTCAAAAAAGCCTATGAAAAGGGTACCAGGGGCATCTCATGGGGCCCCCTACTGACCCCAGGCGCTCGGGCAGTGCCCGAGTTTCCAAATGGTCAGTCCGCCCCTGGCTATGTCTTCATATCACCCAACAGATAAAAAGCTGCCCTCTGGATACAACAGAAGCTCGATCAGAGCACTGCAGACAACACACATCCCAAGGCAAAGGAAGGAAACGACTTTGCTGGGACAACAGAACTTTAAGTAGTAAACAAGAACAAAAAAAAAAAAAGTTGTAGAAAGACGACATAAAAGCCAAAAAAGATTAAAGTCATCTAAAGGTGGGGGGGAAAAAAAATTGAACATATTTGCAAATTTTAAACTTTTTCTGAGAAACTCGTGTGATGTTCGCTTCCCGTAAATGTGCAAATATGCAAAGCAGCTTCGGCGTGGAATGGAGAGGGACACCTTGATTTATGGTTACCTAGAAAATATCGATGAAGTGGTTAACCTTACTAAAAATTCTAGTAGCCAAATCAATTTTCGTCTTTCTCTCTTGTGCTGTGCAGAGGCCTGGATGCAGCCTGTGATCTATAAAGCCGTACGTCTTGCTGCTGACACTGCCTTTCCGCCAGCACACTCTGGAGTTCTTCTCGTAACTTAATCTGCCCCCTGTCTCCCGGTCTAATGCTGGAGATCAGCTGGTGGTGATTATCCTTTCTGACATAGCAAGGCTCATATTTTACCTTTCTCTCAATCTAATTTACAGCCTTGGACTCTCCCAGATAAGGTGACCAAGGTCATCAGCAGAAAATTCCCCCCACCTAGATACAAGGACCTTGGCTTCAGCTTCACGGATTGGGAAACCTATAGCTGGGCAATTTTTGCACGCTATGCAGCAGAATTCAACATGGGCCTGATTATTGGGAAGTGTACGGGATTTGTAACAGTTATGGGGGCCCAGCAGAAGGCAGATGCGAGGGGGAGGCTGTACTGGGATCCAGTACAACATGAACACCTTGGTGACCAACGTAATGTTCAACAATTTCCAACAACCTTTACTACACTGCCCACATCTCCAATCTTATAGCCTAGGAATCAAGGTGATAACTACAGATGGATCAGAGGCCTACTGTATGCCCCTAACAGGCGGGTATGCTCTCCAATTGTAGCCACTTTGCAAGTTGGGTATGTGAAGCACAGTGTGGAGGCCGTAATCACCAAGAGGCCCAGAGTACAGTAACCAATGTACTGAAGAGCTTTCAAACAGTACAACAGCCCGGTGGGGAGGTCACCTGCCTGTAAACGTACAGTCAATGCAGTGGAGAGTCAGTGGTAGTAGGCATGAACTGAGGACAGCGCTTGCCAAGGGAGGTGGAATGCGTAGTGGTGGGTTCAACCCAAGAGGAAGCTTGCAGCAGTGCAGACATAGGCCCTGCGCTTGTCTTACTCCTCCGGAACTTCTCCTTGCCATGAGTGATGTCCCTAACAGGCGGGTATGCTCTCCCTATTGTAGCCACTTTGCAAGTTGGGTATGTGAAGCACAGTGTGGAGGCCGTAATCACCAAGATGCCTAGAGTGCAGTGACCAATGTATTGAAGAGCTTGCAAACAGTACAACAGCCCGGCGGGGAGGTCACCTGACTGGAAACTTACAGTCAATGCAGTGGAGAGTCAGTGGTAGTAGGCATGAACTGAGGACAGCGCTTGCCAAGGGAGGTGGAATGTGTAGTGGTCGGTCCAACCAACCCAAGAAGAAGCTTGCAGCAGTGCAGACATAGGCCCTGAGCTTGTCTTACTCCTCCGGAACCTCTCCTTGCCATGAGTGATGTCCCTAACAGGCGGGTATGCTCTCCCTATTGTAGCCACTTTGCAAGTTGGGTATGTGAAGCACAGTGTGGAGGCAGTAATCACCAAGAGGTCCAGAGTGCAGTAACCGATGTACTGAAGAGCTTGCAAACAGTACAACAGCCCGGCGGGGAGGTCACCTGACTGAAAACTTACAGTCAATGCAGTGGAGAGTCAGTGGTAGTAGGCATGAACTGAGGACAGTGCTTGCCAAGGGAGGTGGAATGCGTAAGGGTTGGTCCAACCCAAGAGGGAGCTTGCAGCTGTGCAGACATAGGCACTGCGCTTGTCTTACTCCTCCGGAACCTCTCCTTGCCATGAGTGATGTCCCCAACAGGCGGGTATGCTCTCCCTACTGTGGCCACTTTGCAAATGTGCGCCAAAGACCCTGCATGACCCAAGATGGATTGCAGGGTCACCTGGATGCAGCATAGCCAACTGGGGCACTGCCCCAAGGAGCCAAGGGAACCATAGAAACAACAAGTTTCCCTTGACTTCCCCTCTGGCTGCAGTACCACTCTGGATGAGCACCACCTGCAGTGAAGAAAATAGATTGAACCTGCCTACATGGTGAAGCACCAAGAAAGTAATATGGGGTATAAATTTCTGAAGCAAAGCAACCTCAACAATGGGCACAGGACTGCAAGGTAACCATTTTATTTAGTGATAGCTGTACTGACTGGCTTTCAGAGTGCTTCAAAAATGCAGGTCAAATGCCACATTTGAAAGCAAAAGTAAACAATGCCTTAGGGGCAAATGTTGGTCTTGGTGGAGATGTTGGCCTTCTTCCTAAGGCACCATTCGACCAAAGTCCATGCAGGACTGGCCGGGAAACAGTAGCATTCACCTTGCTCGAAAGGTGCCTTTGGAAGAAGGCCAACATCTCCACCAAGACCAACATTTGCCCCTAAGGCATTGTTTACTTTTGCTTTCAAATGTGGCATTTGACCCGCATTTTTGAAGCACTCTGAAAGCCAGTCAAAGTAGCTGTCACTAAATAAAATAGTTAGCTTGCAGTCCTGTGCACAACATTGAGGTTGCTTTGCTTCAGAAATTATACCCCATGTTGCTTTCTTGGTGCTTCACATGTAGGCAGGTTCAGTCTATTTTCTTCACTGCAGGTGGTGCTCATCCAGAGTGGTACTACAGCCAGAGGGGAAGTCAAGGTAAGCTTGTTTTTTCTATGGTTCCCTTGGCTCCTTGGGGCAGTCCCAGTTGGCTATGCTGCATCCAGGTGACCCTGCGATCCATCTTGAGTCATGCAGGGTCTTTGGCGCACATTTGCAAAGTGGCTACAGTAGGGAGAGCATACTCACCTGTTAGGGACATCACTCATGGCAAGGAGAGGTTCCGGAGGAGTAAGACAAGCGCAGGGCCCTCTTGGGTTGGACCGACCACTACGCATTCTACCTCCCTTGGCAAGCTCTGTCCTCAGTTCAGGCCTACTACCAGTGACTCTCCACTGCATTGACTGTAAGTTTCCAGTCAGATGACCTCCCCACCGGGCTGTTGTACTGTTTGCAAGCTCTTCAATACATTGGTTACTGCACTCTGGGCCTCTTGGTGATTACTTCCTCCACACTGTGCTTCACATACTCAACTTGCAAAGTGGCTACAGTAGGGAGAGCATACTCGCCTGTTAGGGACATCACTCATGGCAAGGAGAGGTTCCGGAGGAGTAAGACAAGTGCAAGGCCTATGTCTGCAATGCTGCAAGCTCCCTCTTGGGTTGGACCAACCACTACGCATTCCACCTCCCTTGGCAAGCTCTGTCCCCAGTTCAGGCCTACTACCACTGACTCTCCACTGCATTGACTGTAAGTTTCCAGTCAGGTGACCTCCCGGGCTTTTGTACTGTTTTCAAGGTCTTCCATACATCGGTTACTGCACTCTGGGCCTCTTGGTGATTACTGCCCCCACACTGTGCTTCACATACCCAACAACCACATCTCCAAAGCCTCCACTAATGTCTATCACAGTGCTCCCAGAGCACGCCTGCAGCAGTAGAGGAGTACTTCAGACTTAGCTTCACTTTGTATTTTCATGTATTATAGAAAATTAACATCCACAGGGCATTTGCCACGCTTCATTGAAGCATCAAAAAAGCATAATAAACACATCAAAAATACATGTTAAGCGGTAGGCACTTTAATGCATGTTACTAATTGACTGAAGTGTAAACAGACCCTTATGAACGCTGATAATGTTGATTCTCCTGCAAACATGAAACATGGACTCTGCTCAAACCTGACATGAATAAGCTCGAGGTCTTCCAAATGTGGTGCCTAAGACATGTTGGGTGTCACTCTTTATGATTTCCATCAAAAATCGACAAATCAGACAATTTGTGAACATATACCTACTTCCAAAGAGCAAATCCAAAAACACAGATTAGTATTCATTCTGCAAACATGGCCAAACCAAAGCAGTTGGCTATCATAAAAACTACTCTGGTGAGACTGGCCTTTCCATTGGACGATAAAACGGGGAACACCAAAGAAAAAGTGGCTCATGCATATTGAGGAAGACCTAATGAATCAGCGACCAATGAAAATGTTGTATCTGATTGGAAAGGAAGGGAGCGTATTGTGAATAATACATGGAATCCAGCGGCACCTACAGTGGCGTATTGGTTGAGAGAACAACTTGTTCCCAATCGCCAGCTAAGGAATGAAGAAGAATCAATACTAGAATGCTTAACAAGAAAGATCCAACCATAAGACTTCTGGGATAGACTAAATACAAGGCAATTTTTTTCAAGTAGGCCTAACTGCAGGATCCATACAAAGGGAGTCTTGGCATTATGCTGGTTGTCCAAGGACTCCTATGGTAAAACTTTACTCTCAGGTCTACATCGGCACTGTAGCATTCTTGGATGTACTTCCCTATTCATGCTCACATGTACTATACAGACTGCTATAATAAAGAGGTCATATGGTAATCCCTCCCAGGAGTGAATATCTCAAGTATATCATGCTCTGTTCCTCCTCACTCTTGCCAACCTTCTTGCCCTTTTTATATGCTGTATAAATACCATGTTTGCCAAAGTACTCCAGAATGGATTAACTATGTAATCATTTTTTTTCATCATATAGATTCAATGTCACTCAACTTGGAAATTTAAGGTGGTCTGGGGAGCTCCTGACACCTAGAGTGCCATGCTACATAAAGAGCCATGTATATATTCTATATTCCACAAGCACAAACATAGGTTGCTAACCATAAAAAGGATTTCAAGCAACCTTTGTGATGTGAGTGCCACTTTCCAATTATGAAGGTTGCTGATCATGGAAAGGTTTTGTTATGATCCGCCAGGTGGTGCCTCTGGCTGCCCACTTGACAGACCTACCCAAAGCGTGGTGTCTAAGTCCCGGTCTGTGCTTTCACCAGGGCCCCTGATGGTGGGGATGGACTTGTAACAGACCAGGACCAGGTCACGACCTCTGAGCAGGCCCACCAGTGGCAGAGGGAACCTCCGGGGATGTATAGGTACCGGGAGAGCCAGATGTGAGGAGGCCGGCAGGACCTAGCAGGATGGATCACGAGCAGTGGTCCCGTGGGGTAAGCGGGGTACAGAATCAGCAGCGGAGAGTAGTCAGGTCACACGCAGGGTCAGCAGGATAAGTCAGTCCGCAGATAGGTCAAACAAGCCGGGGGTCAGGAGAGGAGAAGGCAGCGTAGTCAGGACAATCCGGGTCAAACACAGGAGAAGGCAGCGTAGTCAGGACAATCCGGGTCAAACACAGGAGAAGGCAGCGTAGTCAGGGCAATCCGGGTCAAACACAGGAGAAGGCAGAGTAGTCAGGGCAATCCGGGTCAAACACAGGAGAAGGCAGCGTAGTCAGGGCAATCCGGGTCAAACACAGGAGAAGGCAGCGTGGTCAGGACAATCTGGGTCAAACACAGGAGAAGGCAGCGTAGTCAGGACAATCTGGGTCAAACACAGGAGAAGGCAGCGTAGTCAGGACAATCCGGGTCAAACACAGGAGAAGGCAGAGTAGTCAGGGCAATCCGGGTCAAACACAGGAGAAGGCAGCATAGTCAGGACAATCTGGGTCAAACACAGGAGAAGGCAGCGTAGTCAGGACAATCCGGGTCAAACACAGGAGAAGGCAGCGTAGTCAGGGCAATCTGGGTCAAACACAGGAGAAGGCAGCGTAGTCAGGGCAATCTGGGTCAAACACAGGAGAAGGCAGCTTAGTCAGGACAATCAGGATCAATATCACAGGTTCAGGAATTCAGGATCACAGATAGACCTTGCGGCAATCTGTGACAGTGCAGGGCACCTTCAAATATCGCACGCTGCACTGCCATTGGCCGCACAGGACGCGCCCCTGGCTGTCATTGGCCATCCAAGGCGCGCCCGCGGCTCCCACTGCGCATGCGCGAATTCCTGTCAGCCGCGGTCCGCCGGGACCTGGTGCTTGTATCCCGGCGCGGACTGCCGCTAGTGCGCTTGCGCCGGGGAAGGTGCCGCGGCGGTCCCTGACAGGTTTCAAGCAACCTTTGTGATGCAACTACTGCTTTCCAATTACGAACCTTATTTCACCATCAACTGATGTATGTTCAACACTACACAACGAGCATCCTCTCATGTATGCTCCCCCCCCCCTTTTTATTTTTTTTTTCACAAAAACATTTGGAGTTCTTTCCATACAGTATTGTTACTATTCTTCCCCTCATGTCCTGATATTCTGCACACCTGGTCCTCAGCTTATCTTCAAAAGCTTCCATTCATGATCACAACAGACATACATTCCAGTGGTTACAGTGAAATCCTCCGAAAGAAGCAACATTGGCTTTTACAAGATGGTTTACTGAGTCTGAGAAGGTTCATAAAGTCAAGTCTGATGAGGGAATGCAATGAATTAATGACAAAGTCCAGGAGATGATTATGGGAGCACCATAGTGCAGGACATTCGTCACCAATTTTTGACAAGCCTTTTGTAATGGTCTGCAGGAGCTGCCACAGACTTTGTGTGGTCAACACAATTTTTGATAACGTTTTACTTAGCAAAAAGGTTTTTATCAGCTGTCTTTCAGAAGCCGTATGGGCAAGGATATAAAGTGCTTAATATGTCTTACATAGAATCTCCATCTTGTGGGCATTTTGGTCATTATGGAAAAACGAATATTTGCATAAATTGTGTTTGTCCCAACAAATGCAGGTAGGTTATTACAGTGTCCACTGTTCACGACCAGGGGAATAAAGATGGCTTGTAAGTCCCACTCAACCAATACCTACCCCCCATCCTTAACCTAAGTAACCACACTGACAACAAATGGAGTTAATGGCCTTCAAAACCGGCCATTTCCAACCATCAATAAATAACATTTTAAATAACAGAAAAACACAGTATAAACATACGTTCCTGCAAGGTCCCAATAGGCATCAAGAAAAACGAATACCTGCGACCTGCTTAACTAGGCCTCCAGCCACAACATCACTGACTCGGAGACACCACCGGAGATACCCCCACCAGAACAACTGGAAGCTGTATCTCAGACGGGTTCCTACAAAGTGCCTTTTCTTGTGCCCACCTTAACCAACGAGGACCTTGCACCCCGCCGGACGTCCCCCAGCACCAACATGGCACAACCACCACCAAGACAAACCATCAAACAACAGGCGGGAGGGAAGTTTGCCCTGTGAAAACTCTCTCCAGACTTAAAAAAAATCCCTGCCACACCCTGTAAGACCACCCTTCGTAGCTCCCCCCACTCCTTCCTTAACTATCTTGACTCCCCCTTATGCTAATGTGACTCTGCCTTTCCCAACCCCCTTTAACCCTTGTCATGCCGGCCCTTCGTTCAGGTCTTCTCTTTCTTACTCCGGGCCTTCCTATTTGGATAGGTACCATTGTTTGCTATGTGTGACTAAGTCACTCCACTTGATAGAAGCCAAAGGAAGAATCTCACCATGTATCTAACACCTTGGAAAGAGTTCGCCCTACGTAGAAACAGGGGCATCTCATGGGATCAGTAGGGGGCCCCATGAGATGCCCCTGGTACCTTTTTCATAGGCTTTTTTGAGTTTGGGCAAGGACACATGGGCCCCATGATCCCCTATTGCCCGGGGGCCCCATGAGTTGTCAGTCCGCCCCTGTTCCCTTGTTTTAGGAACTAGAAAGTGCAAATTGTGCCATCCACGCATGGTGAAGCAGCACATTCAATAAAAGTCAGTAGAAGACACTCATACTCATTGGCCATTGATATATCACATTTACTAGGTGCAGTATAGAGACACGCTTGGTCTGCAAAGTTCTTGAATTAAGTAGACTTTTCAGTCACTTCGTCCTCAAGAACACGGGACGTTCTTACAGCGGCTGTTTTTGTCTTTTGATGTTTTTTTCTACAGCCAGTAACAGGGGTGGACTGAAAACTCATGGGGCCCCCAGGCAATAGGGGATCATGGGGCCCCTGTGTGCATGCCCACACTCAAACCACACCCAAAAAAGCCTATGAAAGGTACCAGGGGCATCTCATGTGGCCCCCTACTGACCCTGGGCCCTCGGGCAGTGCCCAAGCAACCGAATGGTCAGTCCGCCCCTGGCCAGTAAACTCCCCAGCATGTTCTCCTACGTGTCCATGCACACATAGACTGGAATCAACGTTTTTTTTTGGCAGAGACGTTTTTTGGCTGGAAAAAATCCCAGAACTAGTTTTTTAGCTGTAAAAATGCACTAAAGCTGAAAAACGGCAAAACATGGTAAAACGCTGTAAACTGGAGTTGTTGGACTTTTTTTGACCCCAAAAATTAAAAAAAAAACACTAAAAACCGCAAACGCGTAAAAAAGCTGCTATACGCGGCAAATCTCCTCTAAACGCTAATGCAAAAACGCTAAAAAAAAAAGCTGAAAAACTCCGTTTTTTAACGTGACTTTACACAACTAATGTTACCAGCGTTATTAAAACGCCCCGCGTGCATGGAGACTTAAAGCGGAGCTCCACCCAAAAGGGGAAGTTCCGCTTTAAGGACTGCTCCCCCGCTCCCCATTAAGGATTGGCACCGGGGGGGAGATTTTGCAATTCCCAGAGTTCAGCTTTAACTAAATACTTGGCAATGAAAGAAATATTGTATGTTTTCCATTAAAAAGCCATCCTTGCACCTCAGTCCAGTGACTTTGCCTAGGCTGAGGTGATGTCTTCAGCCTGCTGCAAGCAGAAGGAAGCATTTCCTGGGCAGCACAGTGGCTAAGTGGTTAGCACTTCCGCCTGGCAGTACTCGGGTCGTTGGTTCAAGTCCCAACCACGGCACCACCAGCCTGTAGTATGCATGTTCTCCCCGTACCTGCGTGGGTTTCCTCCGGGTACTCCGGTTTCCTCCCACCCTCCAAACACATGCTGGCAGGTGAATTGGCTCCTGTCCAAATTGGCCTTAGTATATGTATGAATGTGAGTTAGGGACCTTAGATTGTACGCCCCTTGAGGGTTAGGGACCTTAGATTGTACACCCCTTGAGGGTTAGGGACCTTAGATTGTACCCCCTTGAGGGTTAGGGACCTTAGATTGTACGCTCCTTGAGGGTTAGGGACCTTAGATTGTACTCCCCTGGAGGGTTAGGGACCTTAGATTGTACGCCCCTTGAGGGTTAGGGACCTTAGATTGTACGCTCCTTGAGGGTTAGGGACCTTAGATTGTACGCCCCTTGAGGGTTAGGGACCTTAGATTGTACGCCCCTTGAGGGTTAGGGACCTTAGATTGTACGCCCCTTGAGGGTAGGGACCTTAGATTGTACCCCCTTGAGGGTTAGGGACCTTAGATTGTACGCCCCTTGAGGGTTAGGGACCTTAGATTGTATGCCCCTTGAGGGTTAGGGACCTTAGATTGTACGCCCCTTGAGGGTTAGGGACTGATGTGAATGTACAATATATATGTAAAGTGCTGTGTAAATTGATGGTGCTATATAAGTACATGAAATAAATAAATAAAAAAAAATTTCCTCAGTCTCCCCTCCCCCAGCGATCAGACTGTACATTGTAAGCTTGTAAGAAGTTATAAGGCACATGGCTGCAGCAGGGGGGCATTTGTGAACGCAACCAAGAACTGAATGGGCACCAGGATCTACATGGTTGCGGCATCTCTGAGTGAACATCACAATAAAGAAAGCAGATGGTGACCCTGGATCAGGGGTGGACTGACAACTCATGGGGCCCCTGGGCAATAGGGGATCATGGGGCCCCTGTGTCCTTGCCCACACTCAAACCACACCCAAAAAAGCCTATGAAAGGTACCAGGGACATCTCATGGGGCCCCCTACTGACCCCGGGCCCTCAGGTAGTGCCCGAGTTCCCCAATGGTCAGTCTGCCCCTGCCCTGGATATTGCTTGAACATGGATGGTCCTTCTGGACCAGGGGCAAGCTGACAACTCATGGGGCCACCAGGCAGTAGGGGATCATGGGGCCCCTGTGTCCTTGCCCACACTTTCTTCCTTCTTCCATGTGGGATAGATTCATCAAGGTGTTGGAGATTCCTCAGAGACTTTGGTCCATATTGACATGAGTTACTGTTGCCTTTCTCAAAATAGTCTGTCCATTCTCCGCTAACATCAACAAGGCATTTTCCTCCACACAACTACCACTCACTGGACATTTTCTCTTTTTCGGACCATTCTCTGTAAATGCCTAGAGATGGTTGTGCGTGAAAATTGCAATAGATCAGCAATATTTTAAATACTCAGACCAGCCCGTCCGGCACCAACAACCATGCCACGTTCTAAGTCACTTAAATCCCCTTTCTTCCCTATTCTTAAGCTCGGTTTGAACTTCAGCAAGTCGTCTTCACCACGTCTAGATGCCTAAATGCATTGAGTTGCTGCCATGTGATTGGCTGATTAGCCATTTGCGTTACCAAGCAATTCAATAGATGTACCTAATAAAGAGGCTGGTGAATGTATACAGGGCCGGACTGACAACTCATGGGGCCCCCGGGCAATAGTGGATCATGGGGCCCCTGTGTCCTCGCTCACACTCAAACCACACCCAAAAATGCCTATGAAAGGTACCAGGGGCATCTCATGGGGCCCCCTACTGACCCCGGGCCCTCGGGCAGTACCCGAATGCTCGAATGGTCAGTCCGTCCCTGTTCTAGACAAAAAAGCAGAAGGAGGCATTTTTTCGGGGGAACTATGAAACAGGTAATAAATACCTGAACACAATAATTAGCGTGACGCTGGGTCCACTTTAAGCACGACGTTTTGTGAGGTTTGAAGGATAAATTTAGTTTCTACTTTATATGTTTGCAAATGCCACAACCATTAAAAACATTTTATTAAAGCACGCTAATGGTTTTAAATAACTAAATTGCAGGGAAAAAAAAATCCCGTAGTGGCCTTTCGCTAATGGCTGCACACAGCCTGCATAGTATTAACACTGCCCTTTTATTAATTCCCATGGCGAATCCTATTTTCACGCCGCGACCCATTCCGCCACTTGCCCCCTCTTGGCTAGCCAATCAGCACTCCCTCTGAGTCACAGCTAAGCCATCCCAGTAAAGCGTTCACTTTTCATTTGGCTGCCTGCCACCACTAAAGCTGTGTCTTCCCAACCCCCCCCCCCCCCCCGGGGGCCCCCGGCCGTTATCCTGATGCCAAGGCGTCATTACCGGCTGCAGCAAATGTGGAGCAAGTGCGGCCTTTGTACAAGAAGACTCGTTGTGACAGGTGGCTTCATTCGCTGGCCACTTTCTGAGGATGTTAGTTGACTGGCTGTTAGGCTGACTTAAATTACTGACAAGCATGCAAAACAGTAAAAAAGTCAGAGAAAAGTCCTTATCGGCATCCAGGGTCTGGGTCAGTACCTCAAAGTACTAGAACAAAAGGGTCAACACGAGAGGAAATCAAAAAGCATTCTTACAAGTAGGGGCGGACTGACAACTCATGGGGCCCCCCAATAGGGGATCATGGGGCCCCTGTGTCCTTGCCCAAATGCAAAAAAGCCTATGAAAAGGTACCAGGGGCATCTCATGGGGCCCCCTACTGACCCCGGGCCCTCGGGCAGTGCCCGAGTTTCCAAATGGTCAGTCCGCCCCTGCTTACAAGGACAACCCAGCAATGGCAGCCTCATGTTAGGAACTTTTAAAATGTCCCCTTCTCCACCCAATGCAAAGGAAGCCTTGACATGGGGGGGTAGGAACATTTCTAACAACAACACCTCCCTACCGGATGCAAACGGAGCCTTGGCATGGAAGGCTAGGAAGGGAGCCATGACATGCGGGGGAGGGATGCTAGGAACTCTTTGAACACCCCTCTTCCAACCTGATGCAAGGGAGCAATGACAAGGGGGGACTTTTTCAACATTACCCTCCCCACCTGATGTAGAGGGAGCCTTGGCATGGGAGGCTAGGAAGAGAGCTATGACATGGGGGGTAGGCTAGGAACTTTTTGAACACCCCCCTCCCCACCTGATGCAAGGGAGCAATGACATGGTGGTGGGGGGACTTTTTAAACATTACCCTCCCCACCTGATGCGGAGGGAGCCTTGGCATAGGAGAAAAATGCAACCAATTAGCCCACCCATGGTATGAAAGATTTCTATGGTCTAAAAAAAGTGCACCATGAAAAGTGTGTCATGATTGGTGGCCGTAGTGAAAGGTAGATGTTCCTAAAGGCTAC